CCACAATTCCATGTTTTCAGATTCCCTGCAAAACCGACTCATAGGAATCCCCCAAATAAACGGACCAAATGGACATTTGTCCGTGTGTCCGATCGGACGTGTCGAACTGCTTCTATCAAGGAGTTTCAAATGAATGGTCTCCAAGAGAGCAATTTCAACAATATCAATCCTTTGGTATCTACATCCTGGTTGCATTAGTAACATTTTGGAATCAAACTTAACTATTTAAAATAAACTATGTTATCTATAGCATCTCAATGATTGGCTTGCGACGCTTCATTTGTGAGTAAGTCGAGAGTTCGGCAAAGATATGGCAGTAAGATTGGAATCTACTTGCATCATCCTGCTGCCTCCTTGCCATACTCTCTATGTTAGACAAACTGCAACAATGTGGTAGTTTGGACACTAGCAAGGGATGAATTCCGATGGAACAGCCTCATGTCCAATTGGAGAAACACGAAGAAGCGGCTTTGCAGTATAAATTTTTTTCAACCATGGAAAACGAACGGAAATGAGCCTGCGTGAACTCATTCATTCAGCCAAGAGTTGTATGCACTGAGTGTCCAGCCAAGATAGAAACGGATCTCCTGGCCAACTGTCAGATCCTCAACGGAGCCCCCAAGGTTGGATTGTTGTGTTGTCCTATGAAGCCGCTCCGCACAGCTGGCTTCTTTCACTTCGTACTCGTGCCATGGTTCAGTTTTATACAATGATAGATGATAGGGCAATAGTGTGAAAAATTCCTTGTCTGAAGGAATGCAATAATCAACCAGTTTTCAGTAAGATTCACAGGCAAAAACATAGACAGAAACCTTTCATGGTTCCTTGTTGACCAAAGCCGCGATAGGAAAGTCTGTTACAGTATAGTCATATATGATGCTTTCAGATTCAACTATTGTACATTCTACTCTGACGGCAATACAATCAACCTTTTTGCACCCGTTTGAGGAAATGACTTGATTCCAAAGGTGAAGAGAATACTACCCACTACCTACCTATACCGGTATCAGCAGTTGATTTCAATCTGCCATCAGAAGAAGACTGAAAGATATTCGATAATACATAGTAGTACTCTATCTGCAAGATTGAAAAGTCAGTTTCTATTGTTTGATCTATCTATTACCTCATGTAGTACATTTCAGTTGCCAACCTACCACCCTAGCTAGAAGTGATCTACAGCGCTTCCTCATGATCGAGGGCTACGGTTGGTCCTTAAGACAAGGTGTTTAGTTATTTGATAAGACAAAGAGAAACTGCTATGGCTGTATGGAGCTTGGACCTATCATCCCCCTAACATCATTTGAAGTCTGTGGAGAGTACTAATTTAGTGTGGAAGAGAGTTAGTCGAATCTATCATTACTGATAGAGAGCTGTGATTGGCTCATACCACTAATAACAGACTCATCTTTAGTGAATCGACTAACTCTTATTGGCTAAAAATTCACTAAAGACCCCACCACCATAAAACAAGAACCCATTGGTGAGTTTCTCCGTGGCGAACAATAGGGGTTGTCAATGAACCCAACCCAACTCTTTTTTTTTTTTTTGGGCAGCTGTGATTGGTCGAGCCAAAAAAAAAATAGTTGGTTTGGGTCAGGAAAAAAAAATAGTTGTGCCGAAAAGAGACCCAACTATATTATAGTTGGGTCTTCAATGACCCGGAGATAATTGATTCGCGGGATAAAAGATATACAATTCCTGTCCAATGTTTTAGATTTATCGTGTGGAACAGTTGAATTTTGAGTAAACGTAGCCCAAAGTGAAACAAAGAATAGTTGGGTCATGTTATTTTTTGACGAAAAATAAGCAGTCTAATATATCTATGAGATATTGTACGTCTCCCTAAACTACCGGCTTTTTCCCATAAATAGTTGGTTCGTGGCTTCAAAGGGGGTGGTCAAATATCGGGAAAAATGCTGCCCTTCTATTCGTTAATTGGACCAGAGAGTGTCCGTCATTCGTACGTTAGATAGATTTACCTAGAGATTCGCACACATCTTGTAAAACCCCCATGTTTGTCATCGTACTCGTTTTCGTCCCAAATCTCTCGTACCTCGCTACTCAATATAACGGTTTATCAGACCCAAGCAATCCACAATGGATAGAGGAGCCTGGGAAGGCTTTCGAATAATATCTGTTTGAGGAAATCGCCTCATTCAGCCATGGTTAGGATCACCATCGTTGTATTGATCTCGTGATTTTCTCATGCCACAATTTCGGCGTTCGGATGCGCACCGAAGGCGAATCACGTCGCAGCGTTAACTAAATTGTTCGCTAGCGAAGGCTAAACGGCAGACGTGCCATGCGTGCAACCATCCGTGCCACGTTTATATACAGCTCTCAATATGAGATGCTTCGACATTTAGGGCTAAATTATTTGAAGTCCCCAGATATCACCAACGTTCGCCTTCTGGCAATTCTCTCCAGTGATTTCTGACTTCAAGTCCGACACTTTTTCGACCTGAAACCAAACAACACATCAAAAACAACAAAATCGTCAATCACAATGGCTGCTGTTATCCATTTTCGTAACTGGTGCGAAACCAATCTCCTTATTCGACCTGCCCTCGTGCAACACATGACTGACGTTGAAGGTCTTGACTCTGTTGACTCCTTCGCCAACAGAACAACTTCTCAAGTTCGTGAAGACATCAAATCTATGCGAAGAGCTCCAGATCCCACCAATGCAAATGCGACTATCGGAGTCACCGCTCGCGAATCGATGACGATTCATCGTATCTCCAAATATGGGATGCTCCTCATTTTGGTCCAAAGAACACACACTCCAGCTCTTGGAACCATTCCAAATCTTCTTTTTATTGGTCAATTCTATGATGAAAACCCGGATCTCATGGAAGGGGAATCCTACCCACTTCCTCCTCATCCCCCAAAGTTCAACAATCGCGATGGCCGAATCATGATGGAAAACATTGAAAGTTGGGCTCGTACCGCCTACGGATATCGTGGAATTCGCCTTGATTATATCTTCCGTGAAAATTCTGAACTGCCAGTTGTTGGTGACCCTGGATTCCTTCGAGCCGACGACGGCTCTTGCTCCATCGAAGAAGAACTTGTCCGACGTGCTGCCCATACTGGTGCTGTTTTCCGTCGCAACAACCAGAAATTTTGGGTTATGCTCCATGCAGTCACACATGAAACGGATGCCTACAATCATGTTCGTCAATTTGCTCCAAGTTTGAATGGTCGCGCTGCTTACTTCGCTCTGTTTGCACAATATCGTGGAAGGGGACATTTCACAAATGAACGCCAAGCTGCTGTCCGTGTCCTTGCAACACTTCACTGGAACGGTAAGGCTCGAGGCTTCACATGGAATATTTTTATCAGTCGCCTTATTGGAGCCTTCAACGACCTCGAGTTGAACGGTGATCCACGCTCTGATGCAAATAAGGTTGACGTACTTCTCGAGAAAACTGTTGGAGATTCCTCACTCTCTAATGGAAGATCACACATTACAGGAGATGCTGTTCTCCGATCCAATTTCCAAGGTGCCATCGATTATTTAACAACATAAGTCTTAGCTGCCGGTAACGACAACACCCAGCGCCGCAATCGACAACTTGCTGCTTTCACTCGTGGTGGTGGCGGACGCGGTGGTGATGGTAGAAGTGGAGGTCGTGGCCAAGGAAATGGCGCCACAAACCGTCTGCAATCGAATGTACCAGACCGCTTTAGCCGAAATGGGATACTACTAAATGATGGAGGTTATTCAAATCAAATCTGGAGAGAGGAGTTTACACAAGAAGAAAGAAATATTTGTTTAGAAATGCGTCGCAACCGTCGCAATGGTGGTGGTCGTGGCGGAAGAGGCCGTGAAGGCCGTGGTGGTCGTGGTCGTGGTATCAGCGCTGTCCATGACGGACGGGCTGATCAAGAAGAAACAAAAGAAGAAAGCAACAATGAAAGTAACAATGATGGACGTGGGGCAGGTGCAGGAATGAGTCGACGCCGTCGTTGACTAGGAACCTCATCTGTTAGATCCCTCACAAGCACTCGCCCAAACTCTTGTATGGTATCAGTGCTATCATCCACAAACACCCTTACCAACCGATGTGAACTGGACTCGCATGCAGATACATGTGCTTTTGACCCTGCTGGATGTTGCGTCCTTTCAACATCCTCTCAGTCAATAAATGTCACCGGTTTTCACAATGGTTTGAAAATAAACGATGTTCGAATTGGAAATGTCAGTCTTGCCTATGACTGTCCCTTTGACCATCGAACCTACTGTCTGCATTTGTGTGAAGTGCTTTTGATCCCTGGTCTAGGATCGCATCTACTCTGTGTCGACCAACTGCGCGCCAACAGCGTGGTGGTAAATGACGTGCCGTTAATCCGATTACGGCCTGAACAACAAAACAGAGAAGCTCATGCTATTTTGACATCGGGTATACAGATCCCGCTCCTATTTGACAAGCCAATTTCCTATTTTACATGTCGCCAACCTACCGATGAAGAGGTCAGCGATATAATGGAGTTTCAGCCTGTTTGGATGACTGCAGATATTCCTTGGCAGCCTTAT